CATCAAGCTTAGACCAAATTCAAAATATCCCGCGAGGCCCTTCGGGGGGATACCGGCTTCGCAGAACCGACCTGAGATCAGCAACAAAATCAGCTTTCGAATGACAATTTTTCTTACAAAATGTACCCAATCATTTAGGCTCTTAGGCGCCCGACGTGGGGAGAACTTAGTGGGCGCAGTGACACTCTGAAGATAAAAAGACAAAAATATTCGGCTGGCACGTCCACGAAAAGGCCGACCCTGCTCATCATCATCCCCTTTAGCCTCATTGCGCTGCAGGACCGTCGATACATCGGCGCATTCCGCCCGCTTGCCGTCGCGGGCCATGTCTCTCTGTTCCCGTTGCTGTTCACGCCGGCCGAGTTTCCGATCAAGACGGTGTACACCATTTTCTGGCTGATCCTCTTCCTCATGGTGTTTGACCGACTGGCGCCGCCCTCGCGAAAGGCGAGGTTCTTCCTGCTCGATCGCTTCAGCACGCTGTATATTGCCGTCAGCATCCCGCTGATTGTGTACTGCTCCCTTGTGCACCAAGTCGTGTTCGGCAAGCGCTAAGAGTTCCTACCACTGATGTTCACAAGTTCGTCCTCACGATAGGAGTCGTCGGTAGCTGGGTGGGCTTCATGGTCGTGTACCTTGCTTCTGAATGTCGAAGACCAGAGGCCACGAGGAGCCTCATTGAAGCAGCTCTAGATGCGAAACAATAGAAATCAAGTTGCGAGACGCCAGCATGCCACGGCAGACAGTGACGTGAATCAGGCTCTTAGAGGAGGAGCTCTGTCACCCAATTGAGTGGGTTGAGGTTGGTGCTGACTCAGGAGACAGCCAATCAAAATTGTATGACCCACGTGTGATGCAAGGCTGAAAGCCACAGCAGCGGGTAGAATTTCTGACCCTAACGATTTCGGGACTGGGGTGGGTCTCCGGGGGGGGGGGAGGGTTGGTTCTACTGTGGACCGCGACGGATGGCTGCGCGCGAACACGCGTTGCTTGTTGGGTCCAATTCGTTTGACCGGTCTTTGGCAACCACGGACGGGCGGCAGACAGCATCCGACTGAAAGATGGACAGGACATCGATGCACAGAATAGGGGGATGTGATGCGATAAGAACCAATTTCAGAATACCTACGGCAAGGTCCGCATGGACAGGATGACGTCTGGGGATGGTCAAAGATTCAGAGACAAGGGCATGATATTGAATGCGACGCGGGATGCAGCAAGGTCTATGACCAATCGAGCTTCTATATACATTGTTCAGCCTCGGAAGAATAGAGGAAACGAATGAGAAGTCTTTTTGCCAAGGTGGTGGGCTGGAGCAGCCGGATGACGCAGGGCGGTTGCTGGGGGCCTTTTCAACTGTCGAGGAGGCGATTGACAGATTTTAGGCTACCCTTTCGATGGTTCGAGCACGTGCATCGAATCGACGCTCATTTGACCATCTCGTCTACAAAAATCTTCATTTGACGTGTATTCGATTTCGGCGGTCGACAGGGTCATTTTAAGCCTATATACTGTGGCCCATGTCCCGTGAGCGAAAAGGTGGTTGTCACGGCAGAGATGGCCGGGTGGATAGGTGGTTTGGAGGAGGAGCGCGACGTGAATCCGAACCGAACCGCACCGCACCACACCACACCACGGGGGCTGCCGGACGGGGGTCCCGACCAGCGCAGCGGCCGCCAATAGGACCTCGCGGACGGCGGTTAAGCGAGGCGCCTCCCCACTGTCCACCGTGGGTCCAGGTACCGAAGTCACTGTCCCCTTCTAAAGTGCACCCGTACGGGGCCCTTCAGCGGTCGACAGCAGGCGATCGTGGGGGCCATGGATCGTGAGGTACCTCGGGGTACTTGTGTCAGGGACGAAATGGACGACACGGCCGACCATCCCCCCCCAGTCTCGTCTCGGTGCACTTGCTGCTGGCGCTGGGTCGCTGCGCTGGGTGTAAGGGTGTAAGGGTGTATGGGTGTGTGCAGGCCTCCTCCTCTGCCCTTCTCCTCCTCTCCCACTCGGACTTGTTTTTTTTTCCTCCTCCTCCTACCTCGTTTCCTCATCACCACCAGCTTCAACCTCACGACACGTCAGCGGCGGTCATTCAACCACCACCACGATTCCCGCCGCTCATCGAACCCAGCAGATCACCCCCCCGGCTTCTCTCGCGACCCTCCGACTCGACCGCCGGATCGCGTCTCCCACCGAAGCCTCGCGTGTAAGTCGCTACCACGACAGATCCGCACACCGGCACCAGCATCCACGACGCGACTCCGCCACCCACAATCGACGGTTCCTCGACGACCGGTTCGCGCGACAGCACAACCACGGCACCAAACAACGGCATTTTGCTTCCTTGGCCATAGTAAGCTCCTGCAGACGAGAGCAGGCTACTTTTCAGCCTTGCATCACGGCATCCCGGTCCACCCTGCCAACCCTCGGACCAGACGATGCAATTGTAGCAAGCCTCAGCCACCATGGTATACTCCGACCAACAACTACAACGAACTCATCTGGATCCGGATGTCGCTGACATGCAGCTCCTAGGTTCTTTTCAAGCGAAAGCTGGTTCGCTTTTTACCTCCAGCCGACATCAAGGACGACAATGCAGAGGTTCGCAAACTAAACCGCCCCCCCCCCTCTCCCCCTCAAGCGCCGACGCTAACCAAGCTTTCTTCTAGGTTTGGCACATTCCTCAAACGGGAGAAGTCTTTGGTCAATATGAAGACTACTTGGCCAGGTAGGCCGAATTCCTTCACAGCTATCCCCCAACCCTCATCATGTCAATGAGCCATCCGCTGACAGCTCTTAGGATGGATTTCTACAAGCAGGTAAGAGCGAACCAGGTCGAGTGGGGCAACTACTGTCGCGACACACATACTCACCCAAATCCTGTATTTAGCGACGTTTTAACTGCCAGATCAGCGGACATTCGGGGTTGACCTTCTTCGAAGCTCTGAAGAGCGAGGTATGCATTCCTTCTCCTCCCGACCCTACTCTGACATGGCGTTCCTGACCACTTCTCTCTCCCCCAGACCGCCGGCGCCGAGGAAGTAGAGCAGGCTTTCCCCGAAGCCCTCAAGGGCCCCGTCCTCCGCCGCGTCCAGTTCCAAACCGTCTCCCGCATCGATACGCTCGTCGACATGGTCTTTGAGGACTTCCGCTCCGACTACTACCCCGGCGAGGCCGTGACCGTCAAGCTCACCAACGGCGAGAGGTTACAAGGAAGCGTTCGCGAGAAGACGCGCTTCGGCCACAAGGTCCTTCCCGACGGCACCATCAAGCCGCCAAGCACAAAATACTTTGTCAGCATCGACGACCGCGAGGATGCCGAGGCCGTCGTCGACGACAGTCACATATTCCGCGATCGCAAGATCTTCACCAAGGCTGTTCTGCGGTCTTTCATCAAGCGGACCGTCACGCGCGAGGCCTGGAATGGCGCTCCTTGGCTCGTGAACCACGACTACGCCCAGGAATACCACATCGACACGCGCATTCCTGCGCATCTGCTCTACGACAACAAGCTCCTCGAGAGGAAGATGCACCAGGCGCAGAAGCGCCGCCTCTTCTGCCCCACGACCCAAAATGGCCGCCAACGCCAATTGGATCTTCACCCTCGGACCTGCCCGTCTGCAAGAGCTCAAGCCCATGCCCAAAACGCAAAAGGGCAAGCTGCAACACCCACACCAAAACCACTCTGGACATTACCTCAACGACCCGAAACGACCTGCTCCCGAGGCGGGCGTCTTTCATGCGCACTCATCTGGCAACCCCTTTCAGCTCCCGAACTTTCGCCAAAACGACGCCTTGCCGCATCATATGGCAGCCCCCCTACCGCCACCACCTCCACCGCCACCAAAGTATCCCATTGAAGATCTCGCGCTCGAGCCGCGCGACGACAAAATCAGGCCGCCCATCAAGTTCATGTGCAAAGACCCGCCGAGCGAGTCAGTTCCAACAGCAAACGGCAGCGACGAATCTCCCAAGGACTACCGAGACCGAATCTCCATGTCGTCGGTCGGACCCCTGCTGGAAACGTGGGACACGCTCAACGTGTACTGTGAGATCTTCAAGCTCGACTCCTTCACCTTTGATGATTTCGTCGAAGCCATGTGCGTCGCATCCGAAGAGACGACCGTTCAACTATTTGAAGAGATCCACTGCTCCGTCCTCAAGATGCTTGTGTCTTCCGAGGCCGATGGTGGCAAAGGTCAACGTGCCGCTGCCTGAGGTGGAGGATGAAGACGACGAAGACGAGGAAGACGAGGAAGAAGAGGCAAGGTCGCCCACCCCCGAAGCGGAGAGGCCGCCGGCACGCGCCACCCGGAGCAGCTTGGCCAAGGCCGAGGCCGAACGACTGGCTGCCGAGCTCAAGGCTGCCGAGGCTGAGGCAGCAGAACCAGAGGTCAAACACCGCGCCGAAGACCTCTTGGAGGAGTACGAGTGGATCGAGCACCTGCGAAAGCGCGACTTCAAAGACGGCGGCTGGGAGATGATCATGGTCGGCCTTTTGCACCAACTGTCCAAGGAACCGCGGTTGGAGAAGTCGTGTGAGGAGTTGCTTGAGCAGCTTGTCCCCCGATCCGTGGACCCGACACAAGAAACGGTCCTTCAAGCCTATGCGACCCTCGACGTCAATTACCGGGTTCAGGCCCTGCAGATCATCTGCATGCTCACGATGCGCACAAAGGCCATTCGCGCGTACATGGAGGACTGCAGCGAGACGATGACGGGTTACCGGAAGGAGAAAATTGAATGGCAGAGGCAGAGGAAACAAGCGTGAGTATCACTGCCGTGATAGCCAGAGATTCGTACTGACCGGAGACAGCGTCGAGGAGCTGAAGGTGCTGAACGACCAACGAAAGGCTCTTCTGCCCGAGGAGACGCCGCAGGACCCTGCCAAGGCGGAGGAGGATGCAAAAGCTGCTACGACTGATGTGGACTCTCCGGCCAAGGCTGGCACTCCCACCAAGGAGGGAGACGGCTCCGACTCGGAAGAAGACGCGCAGACGCGCAAGAACGGACGCCGACCGAATGACCGCACCCTCGAGCGCCAGCGGAAACGCAAAGAAGAGAAAGAGCGGAAGGAGAAGGCTGCCGAAGCTGCCAAGGTGCCGAAGCAGTCGAAGCAGCTGATCAAGAACACCAAGGACATTCAAAAGAAGGAGGAGTTCATCAAGAAGTGCGAGGACGAGGTTGCTATTCTCGACAACGACCTTCGAGAAGCGGATTGCCCGCGCACGCGTGTGTTGGGTCGCGATCGATTCTGGAACCGATACTACTGGTTCGAGCGGAATGGCATGCCCTACGGTGGACTGCCCGACAGCTCGACGGCCTCGGCCGACTATGCTAACGCGTGCATATGGGTGCAGGGACCGGATGACCTCGAGCGCGAGGGCTACATTGACCTCAGCAAGGAACATCAGGACGAGTACAAGGCCAAGCACGACATGACGGTGCCCGAGCGCAAGAAGATGGAGGAAGGCGCGATGAGCGTGTTCAATGCCGGCCAATGGGGCTACTACGACGACCCCGAGGCCGTCGACAACCTGATCCGCTGGCTGGACCCACGCGGCTACAACGAGTTGAAGCTGCGCAAGGAGATTCTCAGCTTCAAGGACAAAATCGCCAAACACATGGAGAACCGCAAAGAGTATCTCGCACCCGCGGAGAAGGAGGAGGATGAATCCCAAGGAGCCGAAGCGCGGCGTCGCCCACACGCACGAGGCAGCAACAAACCCCTGACCCACCAACTACAGGTGCCTCGGCGTGGGAGAACACGGTCGCCATGGAGGAGCTGGGGCACTTGCACTCGGAGCCGCCCCCGCCGCCGCGGAACAAGAAGCAGGTAAAGAAAAGGCAGGCTGTCGATCCCACGCCGGAACCGCCGTCGGCTCCCAAGACGAGGCGGAAGAAGTGAGGAGCCTGGGCCGGATGAATGTGTAATATAAGAGGTAGAGAGGGGGAAAACAATCTGCCACCCTTCTGACGTACAAAGCAGATGGGCTAGCGACTTTGCATGTATGGGCATTGCCGATATGGTGTTTTTTTTTTGGACAACGGATTGGGGGGGAAGGGGGGGGGGGGGGGGGAGCACCAATACGACTCTGTCTACGGACAAGAGGGGCCGTCTCGGTTTTGCAAGGACGCAGGGAGGGAGCGAAGGCGGACGGCAGCGTTTGATTGAGAATCGCGTAGACTTTGCATCGAAAGCGTTTGTCTCGCCATTTCCCGCAGGTTGTGCCATGTTTTTTGTGCCCCATTCGTTGGCCAAGTTCGCTGATGCTAGCTATTTGAGCACGACTCTAACTCAACTGTGCCCTTCATCAGTGACCATAATGCTTTTTTCCTACTCCATCCGTCCAACTCATCACGAGTGAAGTGAACGTGTGTGTGTGTGTGTGTGCTCCCCATTAGCTGCCTCAGCACCGTCTAGACACAGCGCCGACACGACGAGACAAACCCCCTCTCGCGCGCCCGCAGCGTCTCCCACCGGAGATGCTCCTCCTCCGCATCCTCTGCCCCTCCGGTCGATATCGTCTCCCACCGCTCGCCCCCGTCCTCGACCTCACTCTCGTCTTCGTCTTCGTCATCGTCATCCTCGACCTCCTCGCCGTCGTCCGCCGCGCTTTCGTCCCGCTCCGCACTCGCCGTCATAGCCCCAGAGAAGACGTCGCCCCCGCCGGTCCGCCCGCTCTCCCACCAGGGTCTGTACCCCGCCAGCGCGCCGCGCCGAAACAGCAAGCCCGGCGGCGGCGCGGGCGTGATGCCGCGCGCGGGGTCCGCGTGCGAGGGGTCATCGGGGAGGAGGCGCAGGCGCGCGAGGACGCGGCGGTGCTCGACGCTGCGGAGGTTGTAGGGCCCCGCGGAGATGCCGGGGGGTGGGTTGGGGAGGAAGTAGCTACTACGGCCGGGTGGGCGGACGGCTTCCTCGTAGCGAGGGGGGGCTGTCGCCGTGAAGGGGGGTGCAGTGGCGCTGCTGTTGGCGGGATTTCGGGCGCGCGCCCCTGGGACCGGAGCTGCGAAGAAGTCTGGGAGGAAGGGTGGGAGACGGAGGGTGCTGGTTTGGTGGGCTTGCGGACTGGAGCTGCTTGTCCTGGGGGATCTCTCTTGGTGGGTGCTTGAAGGGGGGTTGGCCGTGGGGAGGGCGTGGCGGGAGGGCGTGGAAAAGAGTCCCCTTTCGACGGGAGTAGAACTTACGGGAACGGCTGATGGTGCCCGGCTCAGTGTGATGGTTGTCGGGAACCAGTGCATAGACATGATGCAATCGAATAAGTGTGATGTGTTGCGAGAGGTTGGATTCACCTTGGCAGTGATGCATGTAGCAATAGAGGTGTAATTGATAGCCAAAAGCGTGGGACGAGGAAAGAAAGAAAGAAGTGCAGACTGATGTGTGAATGATGATGCACATCGGAGATGGCTTCACAGAATAGGGTTCATGAGAGCTATCAAGGGTCTTGAACTTGGAATCAGATGTGCAAAAAGTAGTGCATTGCCGAAGAACATGCCTCTACCCCGAACACCTCTCCGGCTAGGTATTACCACAAACTGTTGTCGGATTCTGCAAGGACAATCGGTGCAAATGGTCGACCGCGGCCGTCTCAGAACATCAGCTGAATTCGGGCGATATGGGCCACTTCACCTTGAGAGCTTACTCGAACAACCATCATGTCATATTTTCACCCCATGGCCTGACCCGACATCTCGACACGCCAACCTGTGCTGTGGTATCCATGCATCCAACTTCCTGACCCGTCAAACTTCTGCAACCCCTAAGTCTGTCGTGAGAGCCCTTTCGAGACCAGGCGCAGCGCTTCACCCTTCCGCGACAGCACCCATTCTCAGTAATGACGAGGCATTTAGTTTGCCGGCCCCTTTTCCCAGCGTATACGTATACAGAGTCAGAAGAATCAGGAGCAGCACCTGCACGCCTAGCAGAACGCTGACGGCAATCATGGATGCATGGCTGACATCGACTCCCCTGAAGTTGACCGGCGGTTTGTCAACAATCCGTCGCAAGCCGTACGCTCTGTCCGTGTCTACAGAGTCACAGGGCTTCGTTGCTAAATACATTGCAACCCC